CCCCAAAACCCCAAAACCCCAAAACCCCTCTTCCAATTAATAAAGATATAATGAAATATTAGAAGTTAGTAAAAATATTAAATTAGACAGCCCTTAGGATTATAATTAATGATGTTGCATTATTCTGCAAATCTTTCACTACTTGAATATTCTTGAATTTTTTTTTTCAAACTGAATTTACCCATCATTTATTTCATAGTTTTCATCTTTAGAGGTATTTTTTACTTCCTAAAGTGATTTTAGTGTTTCATGATCATTCATACTTTTTCTTGGCACTTCATTTTCCAATTTTTCTTCTTAATGCACAGACAAGAAATGCCTTATAATTTTGTGCTTGGTAAAAATCTACTTGCATTCTCCGCATCTCAAGTAGCATCTTCTGTGAGTTTTCATATGCTTCTCTAAATTGCTCTTCTAAGTAAATGCTCTATCACAACCATCTACTGGGCATTTGTAGGGTCTCTCGTTGACATGGGCTCGTAGATGATCGAATAAGTTTCCCCACTTTTTGATAATAGAATTGCAATTTTCGAACTTACACAGGAACTACGACTACCATCTTTTTCTCTAGGGTTTATATATTCTTATATGTCGGTAACATTCGATCTTTGGGATTACCATTCCTTTAGGTATCATTTCTTTAATAGACTCATCTGGATCTGATATTTCGATGGGGATTGAATCAGAAATGCAAAGCTTGTGTCGAATATATTCTAATTCATTGCTTTCATTTATAGTATCCAAACTCATATTCAGAGTTATTACATTGTTATCTTTTTATCTTCCGCCTTCACTTATTCCATTATTAGATTTTTCCGTAGTGATTGAATTTTCGTTTATTTGTCCAATAATAAAACTATTGAAGGAATTATTTGATGGAATTTGCTTTTCTTAGCAGCTACATATGCAAGAGCACTTTAATTACGTTGATTTGCGATCTGAGATTATTTAAGGAATATTAATAATTGTTGGAGAAAACTAAGAACTCTTGCTTTAATTCAACGCAATTATTGGAATGAGATTATTAAAGGAATTCCTATTTACCTGATTTTAGTTCCCGTAAACTGTAGGAATTAGTATGAGATTCTATGTATTGGTGGAAAATTATTAGGGATATGTTTAGGTGGTAGTTTGATAGTAATATGGTTGCATTATTGGGTAAACTTATGAGTTATTAATAATATTCTGAGGAATGCTGTACATCGTCTGAGTCGGCTTAAAACTTAATTATATTGAAGTGACTAATCAATAATTTAAAAGCTTAATATTTCTCTTTCACATCGCTTCACCAGTAATCTGCTAGTATGGGGTTTTGGGGTTTTGGGGTTTTGGGG